GATAGATAGATAGATAGATGGGTGACTGATCGCACACACATATACTACATGTACAAACACCGTTACTGAAAGAGGGAGAAAAATGGCTTTATGGCTTTGGCCTTGAAAAATATATGAGCAGCTCTGAGATTCACCAGAGTAAATGGGCTTCTCATCCACTTCTTGGCTCTCTTGTATGTATATGTGGGGGGTGGCTCTCCTGTATCCCAGCAACAGTGCACCAGAGTTGGACTAGGAAACCTAAATGGACCTGGTGGCAAGACCTGGAGGATGAAGTGTGTGTCTGGCCAGGTTATTCTATGTATGTGCTTCTCCACCGGGTGTGCACAGCCATTACATATGAATGATTTATCTGTGTGAATGTGGCTCTTTTTGTTGTCGGAATCATTTGCTGATGCAATTGGGTTGCGTAATGAAATTCCCCTTTTGATCAGAGTCAAAGTCAGAGAAGTGTTTTTGAGTGTCAGTTTGACACATCACTGCCAGGATCGTCTGCAGCTCTCTTTGCTGCCAAGGGCTCAAACATTTATTGCCTGACACCTTGGATAAACACTTCCTCTTCGCCCTTTTCAACAAATAGTGGTGAATGGGGAGGCAAGTGATTCTTAACGATAGGGCGAAGGCACGTGTCAGTGCCTATTCTATAAACTTTATCCTACTGACTTTTGAACCCTTTAAAATTTTGTTACTTTTGGCATCAAGTCATCTTGTTTAATGCAAGCACACATTAAATCATGGTTCATGGTATATTTCTTAATGTTACAGCCTAAAGCCTTCCAGATTATGTGCATTATTGTGAGAGAGTTACATTTACTAAGCAATACATTTATTTAGTGTTGACTGCATAAAGGAACGTGTATTTATTTAAATAGTTTTTAACATTCAGGCATTATAAAAAAGAAGCACATTTTGTGACACTTTATAATTCATGTTGGGGTTTTTTTGGACCTATTTTATTCAATTAAAGTTCAGTCCGTTCCACTTCAAACTGCGGTGTGAAGTACGCTGTAAAAGATAAACAGAGCAGCAACATTAACAATGCTCAAGATTTCTAATTAGTGTTTGCTGGCTAATTGTCTCAGAAGTCACATTAAAAATTAAATGAATTTAAATTTAAAAATTGACAAGAGAATGCCGGAAATTGTTGTTTGCAGTGTGAGCCCATTCTTAAACTGAGGGACTGGGTATATTATGTACTTTCAAAACAGAATTCAAAGGGATTCAAATAGAACAAGCAAATGTAGCTAATATATTATCATAATGAGGCCATCTTTCTGCAGATTACATGCACTGTATGATGCTAAGTTTACTGTTTTTATCTCTTAAAAATTATGTATGTCATTGTTCATGACTCTATTTGTATGCAAGGCACTCACTGGCCTAAATGTAGCAGTGAAAACCCGCTGTGAATGTCTTAGTGGAGCGACAGATATATGTGTATCTGAAGGTCAGGTACTCTTAATTGGTATGCTACAGCAGTGTAAACACACACACACACACACACATATACACACACATATGCACACACACACACACACACACACTCGTCCATTTACCCTAAATATAACATGAATTGAACATGTCATGCACCATAGTAATGTACTCATAAATATGCAATATGTGTAAATAATATTAGTCATTTTAAACATTTAGCAATATAGACTCACACACAGAAGCTCTTGTTTATTTAATATGAATGGGAAATATGTGCTAAGCATGCACACACAGACACACAAGCACAGACCCATGCTGTGCCCTGTGGTTGCAATTGGATTCAATGTGTCTCTGTGTTGTTTCTCTTTTTCCTCTGTCGAATCTGATCACCATTGAGTGATTTAATTCTGTGTTTTATAACCATTTAATTCATCCATAGACTCTCATTTTATCTTTTTAAATCCATGCCTCTTCAGTATTAATGAGAGCACAAAATCCCTGTTACAGCAATTCAGGCAGCAAAGGTGTTTGTGCTGGTGATGAGGTGTGGGTGTGTTGGGCAACAATGAGTGTTATATTAATAACAAACCACTGATGACTTCATTCTGGGTTCAGAACTGAAGCTTCTTACTTACTGGAATTCATTAGTTTTTTTTAAGAGAATAAAACTATGATCGGATATTTATTAAGTTTTCATTCCTATCTATAGCATGCATGAGGCAAACTGAACTGAGGCACTGCTGTGAAATTTAACATTACTAATGGCAGACAGCTGCAGTGAATGCAGTGCATCTCGGAGTGGTAGTGTGATAGACGGTGTCATTTTGCCTAGTCAGGCAATTCAGTTTATTCCAGATGCAACATTAACAGAAGCTGCAGTTTCTTTGTTAATTACACAGTGTGAAGTCACCATGTTTTATTAATAGAAGAGTGTTGACCTTGTAAAGGTTTTTGAATTTCAATAAGCTTTCTGTTCATTGAAATGCTGATGCATATTTAATGCTTTCTGTGTTCACAAATGTTAAAATGGTGTGCAAATACAAGTAATAGTAAGCATATGTGTTTACAACATTACTTAGTCATCTTTTTTTTGACAGAATTAAAGGTCATAGTTTTAAAAAATGGACAGTTAGCTTTCTAAAATGACAAAGCTTCAACTGGATTCATCGCACAGTTGAATGTCGTAGGGGCAGGAAAAGTCATTAAATGATAAAATCATTTAATTACCCTATGGTCCTAAAATGTTTTTTCTTGTTTAATTAAAATATTGCTCTGTTTTTTTCCCTTGCAGACGGTGCGTCATGGTTTTCCTTACCAGCCTACTGCTTTGGCCTTTGACCCGGTGCAGAAGATCCTGGCCATTGGCTCCAGATCAGGCGGCGTACGAATGTATCCTTTACCCCTCATCTGCTCAATCCCTCCCTTCTTCTTTCTAGAGACACACTAGAAAACTATAGATACATGAATACATAGTTATGTACTGTAAATACATTACCCGGCCTACACTGGTTATTATTCATGATTGTTTTGTGGTCTTTTTTGGAGGAAGCAGTTCATCTCACTACACTGCTGTGTATTAACACGAGTATAATTACGGCATATTTAAAAAGAAATTCATTTGCAATTCACATTATACAAATTAAATGAAAATATTTACTAGACACGGCAGATGCACCTTGACTGCAACTGTAAGTAACACTGATATCCATCTACACAAACCTGTGGCACTACTATAGTGTGTCTCCATGCAGGGGTCTTCCTTCTTCTCATCCTACTTTCAGCCCTGTCATTTCATGTTGCTCGGCTGTCATGTTGCAGGCTCAGAACTGTCCGTCCAGCAGCCCATCCCCTGGGTCATCCGGTCACAGGGATGGGAGAGGACGTGTGAGTGCAACCTAGGTAGGAGATTACACCCTCATAAATACCCAGGGTTCCCGTTATGCCTTTAGGGAACCTAGGGCCGTGGCAGTGAACAATCATTGATGCTGCGACAGTCACACTGCTGGCCCTGCTGGTGTAGTAGATGGACAGAGTGGTTTCTCTGCTGAAAGAAACAGAAAAAAAGAGATAGTGACAGAGGGAGACGTGACATTGTTTGAATATTTGAGTGGAAGAAATGAAGAATAGGAGGCTGGATGTTGAGGAGAAGGGTAAAGGTGCACAGTGGGGTTTGATGTCACAGGGAATAGCTGATGAAAAGAGACACAATTTGACTTGATTACATGATAAGCTCAGCCAAATGTAGATATTTGATATCCTGTACTTTTCCCTCTACCTTAAGCCACCGGTTTTCCCTATATCTCTCTAATGAATGCCTGACTGTGAAACATCGTAAGTTTTCACCTGGATGGAAGCCCTTGAGTGACTTAGCATTTGTATTGACATGCTGCACACACCTTCATCTGCTCCCATGTGGTCTGTCACTGGCTCTCTCTCTCTCTCTCTCTCTCTCTCAATTGCACGCTCTCACATACACACTCTTCTCTATTTTGCCGTTTCTTATTTTGCCTCGCCCTCCATTGCCTTCTGTCCTTCCTCCCTTATTTCTGCCTTTATTTATTCAATTCACCCTTCCTCTGTCCTTCAAAGCCCGTATGAATGTTCTTTCTTTTCTTCCCAGGGCTTTAAACGTCCACCTGTCATCTTCTGTCATGGTCTCTCTTTGTTTTTATCCCCTATTGCTTCTCTAATGGATTTCTCCTCTATATATTCCTTTCTTTGTAGCTATATTAGTACTGAAGCATTTTGCCTCTATATATTCCTATCTTTGTAGCTATATTAGTACTGTATGCTGTATAGGCATTGCAGGAATTTATTGCGCTCCATTTCTGTTTTATAAGTGGCCCATAGTAAGTCCTATGACACAATGTGAGACCTACTGTTAGTGCTGCACACATAACCAAGTATATTTCACAATTCCACCAGATTTGAATTTTTCTCACACAGTCTCTCAGGGTGGTGCAGCGTGTAAAAACAGGCAATTTAAAGCCAGCACGCTGTCTCCTTCCCTTCTGTTGTCTGCTGTGGCTGACCCAACATCATAGTCACTGCTTTCCACTGTAGCAACACATCATTATTTGACAGAAATATATATTTTGTTCCTGTTAAGAAATCTGTATTGATCTCCGGGGGCTCAAAGTTAAACATTCCAATGACACTATTGATCGACCGCGGTTATGTGGGCTCTCTGTGGGAGGTGCCTTTTTCCAGTGTGTGGTGTGTAGGCATTTGTGTCTCCTTGAGAGTATGTACGGTATTTTTGTTTGTGTGCGTCAGTATAGGCAGAAGAGTGATCAATATATATGTTGTCAGAAAACATTTTGTTACCTTGTGCTGATGTCTGTAACTGAAAAATAGAGTTTTTCTCAGATGGGTGTATTTTTATATGCATAATAACCTGCATACTGGCGCTAGGGAGGTGAGCTAGATACAACTATTCTCTGTCAGAGACATGTCTACATATGGTTCACAAGCAGACATAAGGAGTATTATCTTTCACCCCTTCTTTCATGATATTAACCATATTCAGTTTCATTTTCACTCCAAAGCCTCATAAGTTAGAGGATGTCGAGTAACCTAGGCTAAGTGTTTTGTCTGAAGTAAGACTTTAGTACTCAAAGGACAAGGAAGGCTTAAGCTCATTATGATCAAATTGAGTACATCATAAGGTTGAGAGAGGCTCAGGCCATTAATAATACATTCTTGTATGTATCATTCATACTATGTAATACTGGAAAAGAAATGGGTTAGCATGTTTATGGAGATTAGTATTCCTAATACCATTTAGCCATTTACCTTAACCGTGTTTAGAGCTTTACCAATTTTTACAAACTTAATGAATGCTGCTGCATGTTCTGCTGCACAAACAGCACTCTGGCAAGAAATTCTATAGAAGCAGAAAATTAAACTGGTTAAATGGATTTGCCTAAGGTGGCTTTATTGTTTTGGCCAGGTGTGCTTATGTAAATTGATTACTCAGAATAGATTTGGGAGTTGGGGAAAAATATTTTTGAGAATTCAGCCATTGAGGAGTTGCTAGAATCATTGCTGAAGTGCTTTTCAGGGTTAGAAAAAAATATATATAGAGAGTTATAGGAAGGGAGAAAGAGCTAAAGGTAACATTAGAACATTGAGAAGGAGGAAGGCAATGGGATTATATTGTTAAGGATAGAAAGAGTGATGAGATAAAAGGACACAGCAAAAAAAAAGTAGTTGAAGACACTAGTGTAGGCATAGCATCTGTTGTATAATAATGATATGAATAATTATATGAATAAAATATCCTTCAATTATGTGAGCAGATCACTGCACACCCACAAACCCAAATCCACAAAACTTTAACACAGAACTGAATGCCCATAACACTAGCATATCTTTAAACTAAATATTCACAGTTATTTTAGATGTAAGATAGTTTGTATCTGAGAAATCTGCATGATGTTTTTAATGTCTTGATGCTGCGGGCTGTTTTCCAGGAACATAGTAACTGTCTTTAGTAAAGTTTAAACAAACCATATGACATCATAGGCTACTTGTATCACTATATAACCTACAGCCCAGCTTACTGTTGGCTGAAATAGAGACAATATGATGTGTATGAGAATTTCCATGATCATCAGATGGTTTAAAAAAACTAATCTGAAAATGTAAATCTTGCAGCAGAATCACCAAGGAAGGAATTATCTTACATTATTGCTTCACATATGACCCCTACCTCCTACACACTTTCTCCTGGTAGAGATTAGTAAGCAACCACATACTCTGGTAGTAGTAGTTAAATTCAGTAGTAATCTGTGTTATTTGCATTTCCTGAATGACAAATCACTTTTTTTTTCAAAATGCATCCCTTGTCCAATCATAATTTTGTAATGGGTGAAACTTAAAACCTCTACAGTGATCAAGAAATACTAAAGATACATAAGCATACTGACTGTTGCAACAATCAATGTTTAAAGTGATTTGTTTTGGACAGTATTATTGTCAAATGTCACATATTTAATATGAACAGCTGAGGCAGTCACAATAGGGTAGGTCCTGCTCTGGTGAATGGTGCATAGTGACGATGTCATCAGGGTTGGCGCAGTGGGTTGGCAATGAGGCTCTCTGCAGTGGGCTCCTAGGACACTCCTCCCCCTGCCTGGGGCGACATTACCAAAATATGCTGAGATTTGGTTTATTGAGAGCAAATAGAACAGAGAAAGACCATGACAAGTGTCTAGAGGTGTGTCTGTTTCTTTCTTTCTGTCCTGTGCCTAAACCTGTGTGTCTGCTTGCTGAGTGTTCATCCATGTGTGCCGTCTACCTGTGTCAATATTGTGTGCGTCTCTGTGTGCAAATATATGAACGCGTGTGTGCACAGATGTTGGTTTGTGTGTCGGCGCAGTAAAAGTGGACGTAGTTTCAATAAGGGGTTTCAGGTAATAGAATTGCCCAGATTCTGATTGACAGTCACTTCTCATAACGGTAAATCAGATCAGAGAAACGCAGAACAAGAATGAGGTGAGATAGAAATGGAAAAGAATGGTGGGAGGGAGGAGGAGGAGGCGAAGAAAGATAGGTTTCATATTAATATCAACAGCTGGTTTATAGCACACTGGACAATCCATGTATCACTTGAACAGCAATACATTTTGAAACATTAGGGCAGGATGACAATTCAATATTATTTTTCATTAACTTTCAGTTTAATCGTATTGTGCTGATATGATTATCACACGTTATTATTTCATATTGTGTCCAAATTATTAGGAACCCAAGCTAATTTTGATTAAAAACAAAATTGGTTATTTAAGTTTATTTTTTCTCATATGTTTAATGAAATGTATAACAGCAGGGCACAGATAATTTAATCCATTCTTTCTTTTATTCATTTATATCAGTGTGATTTTATGACATATAGCAAATGAGTATCAGAAAATTATTGTTATCAGTGCTGTGACTTCAAGCATATCACCCAGCAGTGTCACAGATATACAAGTTTTATTAGGTAAAGTGGTAAAAATGACTATAAAGATGAATCAACACCTCTCTAAAACGGTTTCAACAGAGACTGAACATAATAACCTTTGTGAAGGTAGGATTTATTGCAGGGCTGTTGTATTAGACTGCCTTAGTTGTAGCTAGTATATATGTACCTAATAAACTGGCCACTAAGTGTAAATAATACTAAAACATGGTACTCTAAGCTTTGTTAAATATCTTTGATCCTGATTAGCAACGTCTCTGGGTGTGATATCAACACTGAGCAAATCAATAGACTTGACTTAAGCTGATATTGCATGTCCTCCTCTATCAACTCAAGGCACTGCCAAGACTTTCGCCCAGCCAGAGATTTGTTGACAGTGCTGAGTAATCGAGATAAGTTAGCCTGCGCTGACAACAGTCCTCTG